TTATAAGTGCATTTTATATCACAATAAAATTTTTTCTCTTTAAGTTGTGTATGGTCTAAGTTGGTTTTCTATAACTTTTTTTAATCTTTAGATAATTTTGCATAATTCAATACCTGGTGATAGGTTAGAAATCCCATTCATCCAATTCATTTGTTAATTAGCCACCTAAGTCCAAAAGGGATTTTAAGTAGTTTGTAACCTATGCAAGAATAGTTGTCACTATAGAGTGCTTAATTTCTTACTGTTGTAGCAATAATGGAAATGCTGTGAGTTGCTCACTTCCTACTGTGGTAGAAGCATCCTGGTACAATAGGATGGTGACCAACTTAACCCGACACTAAACTCTTAAGAGACTTGCTATACATTTATCCAAAAAAGATTGAATGCATTCCTATTGTGTGCAATTCAGTATCAAAAAGATCCTTTTTATTGGGATATGTTACAAAATGGACGTCATTAGTAACAGTTTTACAAAAGATGGAGAAATGTCCTTAAAAGAGCTGATTTTAAAAACCTAAAATTTAGGGCCGGCCTGGTGGTGCACTGCTACAGTGCGCTGCTTGGGAAGCGCGGCAGCGCTCCTGCCCGAGGGTTCGGATCCCACATACAGACCGGTTCCCGCTCACTGGCTGAGCGAGGAGCGGGGGCAACACCGAGGGTTGCGATCCCGTTGCCGGTCCCGGTCCGGTACGGGCGTGACACTGAGGGTTGCGATCCGTTGCCGGTCACGAAAAAAGACAAAAAGACAAAAAACAAAAACAAAAAAAAAAAACTAAAATTTAAATTCTCTAAGGCATTTCTACTCAACTAAAATAGTGTGCCTGAAGTACCCAATGTAAATACTTTGGTCTGTGTCCTTTCACATTTTCATTGCATATCCAGCCGTACCTTGTAAGGATGGAAGGTTCTTTTTTGAATAATAAACTGATTCTGGGTCTTTATGTCCAGAGATTTTGGTACAGTAGTTGGCCGAGGAATCAAATAGTTGCACAAATGACTCACATGACTGGGGACAGTTTACCTTAAATGATAAAAATTGTGGGTTTGCCCCCTCAATTTAGTGAACAAAAAAGCATTACTGTGTACTGGTATATAGTGGTTATGGTAGTGGTAATATGTAGAATAAAATCTATTCCTCACTGTTGCCCACTGTCTTCTACGTGGTGCTCTCTACCTCGATCATTCCACTCAAATCTGGCTGTTCTCTGTTCCTTGTTCTGTTCTCTAGCGGACCAAGCACAGTCGGGAACATTGAATGCGCTGTTCTCCACACTGGAACACTCTAACCCAATATCTACATGTCTTGCTCACTTCATGCAGGTCTCTGCTCAAGTGTCATCTCATTAGAGGGGTCTCCCCTTGACCTCTCAAACTGATTGCACTTCTTGTCCCTCAGCTTAATCCTGCTTTGTTTTCCCCCATAGCATTTAGGCATTGTACATCTGCATGTATTGTTTGTCTCCATACACCTCAATGGGGCTGAGAAAGTTGGTTTTACTCACTACTGCATCCTCAGCATCTAGAACAATTTCTAGGACATTGTGGACACTTTTTATTTGTTGAATAAGTAAATGAATGAGTGAATTTACCTTTCCTTGAAGAATGGGATCCAGCCTCCATCACTGTATTTCTGGCCAGAGCAAACCTCACTAGCACTGGCAGAACCTCCTGCCCTATGAAGGCCATGGTTTCTAACGTGAAACTCCAGCACTGACCCATTCCTGAGCATCAAGTGTCTTTCAGCATGGATATTCAGCCAATTCTGTGCTCTGAAAAGACCATGACCAGCCTCTACTCAACTGCCAGAGCTACTCCACCACCATCTGCTCTTGCTAGGATTCAGCCAGTCTATAGTTCTCTAGTGAACTCTGGGGACAAGGCATGAATAGGGGTTAAATTGTATTTTTTAGTTTCCTAACAAAGCTGTATAAGATGTCTCGGGCCATTTCTTCAAGTGTGTATGTGTGTGTGATTCTGTCATTTACTAGCTATATTACTGAATCGGTTATATATTGCCACCATACTAATGTATGACAAGTTACCCCAAAATATAGTGGTTTAAAACTATAGCTGTCATTTTTCGCAAGTCTACAGTTGGCTGGCCTCTCATATACTTCTCATCAGCTGGCAGCCTAGCTGGTTGAGGATAACCTTACTTGAGATGCCTTGTCTCTGTTTTGCATAGTCTCTCAGCAGCAGCAGCATGTTAGCCTTGGCTTGTTCTTATGGCAGTGACAGGGTTCGAAGAAAGAGGGAGAAGTAGTGCACAAGGACTCTTGAGGCCTAGGCTTGATACATCACTTTTGCTGCAGTCTATTGATCAGAGCAAATTACAAGGCTAGCCCAGATCTGTGGGTCAGGGAAATAGACTTCATCTCTTGATGGGAAGAATTACGAAGCCACATTGTGAAGGGCATGAATATAGGGGAGAGTGGAGAATTGCAATCTACCACAAAACAGGCAAAGAAATCAGTTAACCTGGGCCTCAGTTTTCTCAATGTGGAAAAGAATGGAGTCTACATTATAGAGTTATTTATTAAATCAGATCACGCATGTAAATTTAGCACAATGCTTGGCACAATAGTTAGCTCTCAACATATGATAGAGATGATTATGATTAATATGATGACTTAAACATAATATAGGGATAAAGACTACAGACTGGTGCCAGATGCCTGAGAATCCTCACTCTGAAACTTGGTAATCTTGTGCAAGTTACTTCTCTTCAATTTTATTCATCATCTGTAAAATGTGGATAATAATATAACCAAATTCATAGGATTGTTATGAGGATTAAATAATATAGGGAAAGCACTTTGAACAATTTCATAATTGTTTAATCAAAACAGTACAACATATAACTTTTTTAGAAGTATAAGTTTATATATTAACATACTTATCATTATTATTATTATTATTACTATTAGGATACTATGGGAAAACAAAGGAGAGGCACCTACTTGTACATGAAGAATGAGAAAGGATTGTGGTGTGAAGAACTGATGAGTTTGCAAGGTGGACAAGGGAGGTAAGGGCATTCCAAGCAGAACAGAAGGCTGAACAGTAAGCACAAATACACAGGTAGCCACGTCATGTTCAAGAAATTCCAATAAGTTCAGTTTTTTGGCTAAAGATGAGAATTAGAAAAATCTAGTCATCTGCATATGGATGATATTTGAAACTCCAAAATTGGACAAGATAGGTATGTCTAGAAAGAAGAGTTGAATACACAGATGAATATTGATGAGTCATCAATATTAACAGAGTAAAAGGGGGAAGAAAAGCATTCAAAATGAACTGAGGGGAACAGTCAGAAAGGTAGAACAACCAGGAAGCCAAAAAAAGGAGAAAGCTCTAAGAAAGGGGGTGGAAATCGCTCCAAATTGAAAATGAAACCAAGTGACTTTTGCTGTTATTGAGAGTAGACCGGATAATTGAGGTCAAACCTCCCCAAGGCATCATCCCTCTGCCTGAAGATATCAGAGCACTGGAAAAGAAATATAGGGCCAAGATCTGGGAGAAGACAGAAATCCAGACAGATGAATGCCACTACTTCCCTGGGGGCACTGGCCAGTTCTGGAAGAATCTAGGAGCAGGCATGCATATGCATTTGTTCAAGTACCTATTTTCAATTCTTTCAGATGTACACACAGGAGTGTAATTGCTGTATCATATGGTAATTCTATGTTTAACTTTTAAGGAACTGCCACACGGTTTTCCACACCAGCTTCACCATTTACATTCTTATCAGCAATGTATGAATGTTCGAATTTCTCCATCTCCTCATGAACATTTAGTTTACATTTCTGTTTCAGTTTCTTAAATTTTTTATTACAGCCATCCTAATTGGTTTGAAGTGGTATCTCATTGTGGTTTTGATCTGCATTTCCCAAATGATGAATGATGGGATGTTGGGCATTTTCATGTGCTTATTGACCATTGTGTATTTTCCTTGGAGAAATTTCTCCCCTCCCCCTAAAACTACTTATTTATAATTTTGTAACTTATTATGTTTGCTTTCCCTTTAAAATTTATTTTTCATTTTATTTTGTTCCTTAATGTTTATTTGTGCATAAACATTGTGTTGCTTCAATACATGCATATACAATACATCGATTCACTTAGGGTCCTAGCATAGATTTGTACACACTAATCTACCACTTCCTCTTCCTCTGTACCCTGTCCCCTACCAGCCTCTGGTAACCATTATTCTACTCTATACTTCTGTGAGAGCTATTTATTTATTTATTTAGATACCACATATGAGTAAGATCATGCAGCATTACTGTCTGTGCCTGGCTTACTTCACTTTACATGATGGTCTCCAGTTCCATTCATTTTGCTGCAAATGACAGTATTTCTTTTCTTTCTTTCTTCTTTTTTTAAAATAGCTGAATAGTATTCCATCGTGTATATATACCACAGTTTGTTTTTTTTATTCATTCATCCGTTAATGGGCATTTAGGTTGATTCCATCTCTTGGCTATTGTGAACAGTGTTACAATGAATATGAGAGTGGAGGTGTCTCTTCAAAATATCTATTTCATTTTCTTTGGGTATATACCCAGTAGTGGGATTGCTCGGTCATAAGGTAGTTCAATTCTTAGTTCTCTGAGGAAACTCCAAACTGTTTACCACAAATGGCTATACCAATTTACCTTCTCACCAACAATGTAGGAGAGTTCCCTTTTCTCTACATCCTCACCAGTATTTGTTATTTTCAGTCTTGTTGGTAAT